TAAGAGACGCGCAATTAACGCGATGATTGCGCTCGCTGGAGGAAACAATACGTCTCCCGATACGATCTTCGGCGTGATCGACGTCGGCGCGGAGGATAATGCGTTCTGCTGGAAATAATGCTTCAGAGCTCCCCACCTCTGATGCCTCTTCAGGGAATTTCATTTGCCCGCGTTCGCGGAACATCCGCCGATGGATTTCCGCGTACGCGCGTATCTCTGACCTCGCCGGTTTGTTTTAACGCGCCATTTTCGGTGGCTCCGTTCATCCTCTCTCTTCTCCGCCCCCTTTATTTTTCACGGTGCACACCCGATAAAAGGTATTCGAGGAATTTTCAGTACATTAACACCGGTCACCGAACCTTTTATCAGAAATTTTATATACACATACCTGTGGAGGCTAGAAGCTGAAATATTTTTCGAAACGATTGATTGATATCGAAAAATGTTGCAGACAAAAGTTGAATTGTTTCGTGAGGGATGATAATTAATCGATGTATTATTTTTTGAGCGAGCATTTGAGCGAGATTGTGTATTTTTTTTAATACACTGATCGATTCATCTCGTGCCATTCCTCGTGAAAAAGTATTGGACCATTTATACCGAAGCCATTAGTTCAGGAGATGTTTTGATTAAAATTTGTTCTCTTATTAGTATTCTCAGACTGATGTCAAATTTTACGTTTCTTTATTTTTGATATTGCTCGCGATAGTCGTGGTAATTTTTTTTAATGAGCCACTGCAGTATATTGTACTATCTTTTTTTTTTTTTTACAATTAAGAATAGATACATTTGAGTCGAGATCAGGAATCGAGGAGATTGAGATTTTTGTTTAAATTATTCTATTTCTATTCGAAATACGGGTTGTAGAACTTTTTCGAAAAAATATTCTTACGTTGCAAGTCCCGATGAGAACGGATGAATAAACGTTTATTAAAGATAAAAACCTTCAAACAGAATAGAATTTGTAAAATATAAAAATTTTCTGTCGAAGGGAGATTTGTAACAAGTACTAACGCTATCGTATTGTTCGTTGAATAGTAAATGTTCTAAAACATCTGTTTATTATACAAATTCTAAAATATTTGTTCCACGAGAACACTATTAAAAAGTGTTTCTAAGTGCGACACTTGTTTCTATAAAACACTTATAAAACAAAAGGAAAACAAATACCCTTTTATACGAAATGTACAAGTTTGAACAAAATACTTTTCAAAATGGAAAGAACCTGTTTAACAAATATCTTTTCAAAGTTTACTATAAAGTGATTTAATTTCCTTCATAATAAAAACGTCAGTATTATTCGGTAGAAGAAAAAATTTGATTGGAACAATTGTAGAATCAGAGATTCGCTGTAACGGAACATGATCTGGAATCAAAAGTGATCGTGCTACTTGAGAACGATAATAAAAATTTGGAGGGATCGACAAAATATTTTTCAAAATGGAAGAAACCTGTTTAACAAATATCTTTTCAAAATTCACTATAAAGTCATTTAATTTCCTTCATAATAAAAATGTCAGTAGACAGATAAATATCAGTATTCGGTAGAAGAAAAAAATTTGATTGGAACAATTATCGAATCAAAGATTCGCTATAACGGAACATGATCTGCAATCAAAAAAGTGATCGTACTACTTGAGAACGGCAACAAAGATTCAGAGAATTCAACTCACACACAGCAACACGACCATAAAACGCCACGTGACAATGGGCATTCGTTTTCATTTTCCACGAAACACTCAGGCCGAAACCGCGAAACGCGAGGAGAGATAAGGAACGAATCAAATCCCACGTATATACATTGGCCTAAAATTTCACGGCAGCCAGGCGAGTAGAATCGACGGAATATTTACTGGCAGCGGTAGAGGCTTTTCTCGAAGTGACCTTAAAATAATAAGACCGAAGATAACAGCCGGTCGGTGTCAGGATGGTATGACATGGGCGCGCGCGCGCGCGCGTGTACACGCGAGCTACGAGAAATGTAAGCACGGCCACGTGTTACAAGGCAACACGTGTCGCGTGGTACCAGTGAAAATAAATCATGCGGCTGTGTGCATGACGGGGGGAGGAGGAGAGAGGGCCCTGACACCAAAAGAGAATCGAAGAGAAGAAATTCGAGAAAAAGGCTTTCGGACCCTTGTCACGGGGGGTGTGTTGGGGGGCGGAGGGGGCACCGCTTCGTTTTGCCTCGTGCCATCGCTCAAGGAACGCGTCAGATCTTCAAAAGGAAAGGATTCGAACGGTTGGTGGTTTTCGACGAATCTCTCTCTTTCTCTCTCATCGCCTCGAGACGAGACGGCCACCGAAATTTGTCGCTGCGAACGTGACGAGGAGGCGTGACAAAATGCGCCTCGACTCTCCGAGCTTCTCCGGCATATTTTGTTTCTTTTATTGCCCCCGTGGACGAGAAACGGAGGCGGGCAAGTGTCGACAGTATGCTTTCTTTCGAATCTCTTATTGATACGTTTTACGAACGAGAAGTCGATATCGATGGATGTTTGGGAAATGACGAATAGGGAACCGGGGAGTGAGCCGAAACAACACGTGGAAGCTGTTAGAATTGGAATAGAATGAATTAATTTTAAGCAGATTCTGGGTTCTCGACGATGGTTTTTTTGGTAGGTGCAATTTTTTTACACTAGACACTTTTTATGGAATATTTTTGTTAAGTGTGTCACAATTGCATTTTATGAAATTATGTAGATTGTTTTGTCCACTAATGTTGAAATAATATACCTACATAATACAATACAATCTAGAATTTATGATAGAATCTGCCTTTTTGGAGTCGGAGACATTAATTCTTATCACGGGTGCGAATTGATATTACAAGACAAACAGTTGAAGTAAAAAACAAGAATTATTGGAGCTCCGAAAGCGAGCTCCTATTCATTTTAAAAAGACAATCATTTTTGTGACAAAATTCTGAGTTCAAATTGATCGACGAATTAAAAAAAAAAAAATACTCTGAAACCTTGAGGAACGCATATTTGATAATTCACAGTCCGTGTACCTAGGATCCAAAATTCAAAGTACATAAACACTTTTGTACAAACGATGAAATAATTTTACGTAATACATTTTACGAGATACATTCAACAATTAATCTTGCCGTGGATCTTCGATATTGTAAAACGAGAAGAAACAGAAGAACACAAAAAAAAAAAAAAAATTAAAGCTGAAAGAGAAGACGACTGAAAGAACATCTCCATATTGTAAAACGAGAAGAAACAGAAGAAAATTGAAGTCGGAAGATTTTTTTCTTCCTAGGAAACTCTCGAGAGGCCACGAACAGTTTGTGGGAGCGTCATTAACAATGTAGCACACAGAGGGAACCAGTTCGTTTTACGGTGAAGTTTCGTTAAACGAGGAGAGGCACGGTTGAAAAAAGAAAAAGAAAAAAAAAAGAGAAAGAAGAAGAAGAAAAAAATCGAGCACGGCCCCTGCTTAACGGCCGTTTAATGCGCATAACTCGAAAGCTTCCCTTGCTCTGTGTAAATCGATGCCTGTCAGCCTGGGCGACTGACGAACGCCGGGACGTCCGTACAAAGAATATACTTGTAAACTTCTACGAGCGCGTTAATGTACTTTTTACGCCTCCGTGGATGGTCCTCCTCCCCGGTTTATGCCCCGGACCAGCGACGGCCAGCGTCGTTTCCCTTCTGTCACGAACCACGAACGGATTTGCTTAAGCGACGATTCCACCCAGCTCCGGCGGCCGTGTTACGCGCCACGTTGCCTCCTCACCGCGCGATAAAACATCGTGCGTATGTGATTCGGTAAAAATTGTCGGTTTACTGGCCGCCTGCAGTTAGTTCTGGGTTTTTAAAGTTCTGGAATTCACTCTGGTCTCATTCCGCGCGTATACTCGCCGCTTCCAGCTTTTTCAAGCGATATTTTTTACATTCCTCGAAGCTGGACTTTATGCGGGACGAGATTGAAAAGTTATCGCCAGCGGACCACCGTTTAATTGCAATTTTGCTCCATCATTTATGTTATTATTTTACATGGGAAATGTTGAATTAAATATTTCAATTCGAAACGATACTTTAATTCAGAAATTAATACGAGGATTAATATCTCGTGAGAATTAGCGAGACCAAAATTCGGAGGTATATATTCCGCTCCGTAATTCATTCAGGAAGTATTATTTAGTTAATTTAGTAATTAAGAGAATTGTAGTAAGTAGAAGTAATTTCCACCGGATTTTAAACAATAATGCATTCTACTAGTCAGACATGAAATTCACTATATATATAATGAAACTAGTATTATAGTATATACCCATTGATCTATTTCTTTGAGTCGTTATTAAACGATAATTGCCAAATTTTAATAGTCAGACATGAAATTCACAAAATAACAAAACTATACAGCATTATACATGTCTATCTTATTTTATTTCTCTGACTAATAATAAATGATAATTGCCAAATTTTACAATAAATTCGTTATGACAATATTCTTTTGTATTATATTATAATTTTTATATTATATTATAATTTTATATTATATTATAATTTTTATACTATATTATATTATATTATATTTAAAATTATTTTCACAAGATGATCAAAAAGTTACGAGATTATTATTAAGAATTGTTTCACCGACTTATCAAATTATTTCAGGATTATTTTTATCTATACATTACTGCCCAAATATTAATTTTGCTTTTAAAAGAATTTCTCATATTACAAAAGATATAAATTCAGGATGATTAATTCGTTTAATTCATATAAATGGGGCATCATTTTATTTTTTATTAATTTATATTCATATTAGACGAAATTTATTTTATTATTCATTTACCTAATTATGTTTGATTAATTGGTAGGATAATTTTATTTTTATCAATAACAACTGCATTTTTAGGATATGCATTACCATGAGGACAAATATCATTTTGAGGAGCTATAGTAATTACTAATTTATTATCAGCATTACCTTATATTGGACAAATAATTGTTGAAATTTTATTTTACCTTTAATTATTACAATAATAGTATTTTTACATTTAATAATTTTACATATTTCTGGCTTAACAAATCCTAATCATTCAAAAAATGATATTTATAAAATTATTTTCTATCCATATTTTATAATTAAAGATATAATTACAATTATTTTTATTTTATTAATTTTTATATATATATATTAATTTACAAAATCCTTATATATTAAGAGATCCAGATAATTTTAAAATAGCAAATCCAATAATTACTCCTTCTCACATTAAACCAGAATGATACTTTTTATTTGCTTATTCTATCTTACGATCAATTCCTAATAAATTAGGTGGACTAATATTATTTATATCAATTTTTATTCATTGTCCAACAAACATCGTCAGAACATCTCTCCGTAAGTCTCACCTGCAAGATGCAACGACAAGAGTCTCGCCAGGCAATATTCCATCACGATCGTTTCTTCTTCTCCCTTCTCAACGCCTATTCTCGCCCGCGAGACCGCAAGCAAAAAGCAATTCGGTAAATTCGGTAGCCTGGCGAACTGGCGTTGGGCACACAGTTGTAAATCTGGACCATCGTGTTGACGTGTTGTTTTATATTCGCAACGGTCGACGCTTCTCGCCATGTTTACGTTCTGGTGCGAAAACGAAACCTAAATAAATAAAAATCTTCATGTAATGATGAGCCTTCGCTTCGATTTTGTCGCTCTCGTATGTTCAATTTTTTGTTGCGACTTGATCGAAGATCGAAAACGAAGAGCGATACTGCGTACAATTACGAATGACGTGATTCGAGCTTTGTTATTACCGATGATTGAACAGACTCGGTAATGCGCGATGGAAAACGTCCGAGGCAATTACCAATGATTATGAAGAAACACTAGCTTTCACCGTTGAAACATCGAAAAGACAGAGATAAGTATGGAACAATTACTGCTGTAATATCATCATCTCTCGTCGGTAGATTACCGTACAATTTTTTAATTCATTAGAAATTTGCTTCGTTTACCGTACATTATAGCAAATAGAATCTGCTTCGTATATTTCGTATCCAAATGAATTTTTCTTTCTGCATTAGAAACGTCATCTCGTCGCAATAGTAACGAAATATTAAATATATATATCAAAATAGTTTATCACGCCAGTGTGTTTGAGTTGAAATATTTTCACGAGTCCTATAACTGTACCAAATATTCATTTTCTAGTCTCTATCTATATCCATTTATATCTATATTTACATCTCTGTCTATGTATATTCATATTTATATTTATATCTATATTTTTAGATTGCGTTCTAAATTTCGCCAACATGGTTGTAATAATTTTTTCATCACACGTTGATAACGAAAATTCGAGATACTTTATCACGTGCATGACGTAAGTATAAAGTCTTTATAAATTTATTGGCATAAAGTCTAAATAAATTTTCACCTTGGTACCGTGCTTTAATGGTGATGAAATGTCAAAATGTTTCATACTGTCAAGAGGCAAATTAAAACAGCCTACTGTTGTACTACTTTTCCGCGTGAAAGTCGACGAATTTACGAAACACGGGGAGCACACAGCCGAGGCAAATGGATATGGCGTGTCGTAGGTCAGTGCGAATGGAAAAACCGCGGAAGGATCGGCGAGAACGCGTTTTCATTCGGTGGAACGACATTGCGAAAGTGATCCGCGACACGGAGAATCTTCTCAGGCAGCTAAAGGACGACGATGCCTGTCCGATGAGTCTGTTGCATTCTCACGGAAGAGAAAAGTGCGCTGGTGATTACGTTGGTAGCGCAGGTGCTTCGCGTCGCGTAGCATGTAGCCAACACGCTACAGGCCTAAAACCGTAATCGCCTGACGTTCGAGAGACGATCGTCGACGTGAATCACGATTCCGTTTTACTTAGAGAAACTGATGCAATCCAGGTTCCCCTGCTCGCTTGCACGATAGAGTTTTACTTATCGTTAGCGCAATTCTTTCATTGTCCTCGAGCGTCCATAAACGTTAGAGTTTCTTTCGAGAGGGAATTAAATTCTTAAACGACCGTGAGAAAGTATCAAGCTCCGCTTCTTTTTTTTTCTTTTTCACTTTGAAATAGATGTTTGAAAAGTTTGTGGCTCCAGCTGTAAAGTTGTGGTAATATTTGAAATATTATCATTGAAAAGTGACATTTATATCGTAGGCCAAGTTGTCGTAAAAAATGATCTAAGTGGATGATTATGTTCGTATTTGTGACGAAATAGATAACATTAAATACACGCTTCCGTACTTAAATGTCGTATTTCTTAGTAAAAGTAATCGAATTTGCTCCTCTTATAATTTGCTCTTCCTTCCCAATGTTAAATAATTATCTAAAACGTATATCGAAGAACCAAGTTTCTTGAAACGTCTCCAAGTTCAATTAAATATGAACCAGGAATTAAAATTAATTAAAAATCCAAAAATATCTACGCTCCCGTCGTTTCATCTAAACTTATAACAGATCATCCTTACAGTCAAACAATGAACGATAAAAAAAAAAAAAAAAGGAGAAGATACAATCATCCTGAAAAGAAAAAGTCGATCTCTAATAGAGAACCTGGGGCCAAACTTACAGCCAGCAGGTTATCCCTTACAGTCAAGCAAATCAACAAACCAGAGGAACAATCAAAGAACAAACGAAAGAACGACAAAAACAAAAAGGATACAGTCATCCTGAGAAGAAAAAAAGTCGATCAGGCCTTCCGTGTCGGTCCCTAATAGAGAACCTGGAGCAACCGCTCTATACCAGCTGCATTCACAAACCACGTAATCGAGAAACACGCCAGCCTCTTCCTAGAATCGAGAGACTAACGCGTATCGGCGGTACACGCACCGGGTGTACCGCGTACCAATTTTGATAACAGGTCCGAAGAAGCACGCGGCTCGGCCAGAGCAGTAAGGCAATGGACCAAGGTAATCGTGCAAACGTCCCGGCGGGATGTTATCCGCGATGTTTGATTTGATCTATGGAGTCACGTAGCCGGGATCAATATTCCGCGTACGTGTTCGAATGCGTGCAAATACTGGCAGCCCGTGTTAGATACGCGTCTTTCTCGCGTGTTGCCCTCTTACTCACCCTTTCTCTCTCCCTCTCTTCCTCTCTCTCTCTTTCTCTTCCGTGCATCCTTCTCCTTCCCGTGTGGTCTCGTGAGCATGGAGAATGCGTACGTACTACGTGTCTAATTAGCGAAGCAAACAGTGTAGTTTCTAGGTAGCAAATGGTTGGTACACAAGCAACGGAGCGGGTACACAAGAGCCGAGCAACGCGGGGCCGTGCAGATCCATCGGCGAACGATCAGGACGCTCTACTCTGGCCGAAAGTCGTTGCCAAACGAAGGGGTTGGGGATCGGCTCGGTGATCTCCTCCGGAGATTGATCCAAGATCGAGCGTGTGTATATCAAACAGACGGTGGCTCCCGGTGCGGATCGATGATGATCGGTTAATCGGTATTAATTGGATCAAGGTAAATGCGAGTGTTGCGCGTTGGAACTTGCGAGTACGGCGCAGATATGTGTACTTGTTAACCGACGCCTGGGGAATTACTGGGCCGGTTGGAAACAGCGGGATAGCGAGCGGTGCGTTCTCGTTGCGCGGATAGAAATGTCAGGCTGTCGGATTTTATGGGTGCCCGTGCTCGGGCACGGTCGTGCGGAGCAACTGTAAAGAGCTCGCCGGGATAATTACCATCGTGGACATCGGCTACGTGCTTTCGCCACTGGAATAACTAAATATCTGGAGGGATCACCTGCCGGGAGAGACTGCACTGGTTTTCAAAACTTTCGTTTGGCTTCTAGTTTTAACTGATAGAGGAGTTTAACTGAAAGGGAGCAAACGATTCCTTTCAGCGGATAATTTGCCATTTCCTTGAGAACAGATCCCTTCCGCGGCGATGAAATAATTCTAGACTTTTGACTTTTGAAGATTCGATCGATTGCACGAAGCGCTTGTCTCCAAAGTTAACGAAACACAGCAGAGTATGTTTTTACTTTTATTTTTTCACCGAGCAATGTGTCATTTGGGAACAGGTTCCTTCTGCGGTGACAAAATGGTCAAGATGGCGATGCAATCAGATCCGATGCGATCGTTTTATAAAATTCTGTCGAGGACGCTCGTCAATGATTTTATGGAATTTGAACACAACGCGATATAGGATGTACTTCTCGACGAAGGAGTATTGATGCAGTCTGATTATTTTTCAGACAGATACTTGCGTATCGCTTCCGTTTCGCGAGCGAATCTTGACAAAAATACATTGGCCAAGAGACGAATGGTTGCCGGAGCAACGATGTTCGCGTCTAACGAGTACTCAAAATACGAGAGGAGAGAGAGAGAGAGGTATCCTCACGTTGCCGTGCTCGGATATTAATTCCGGTTCGCGCGGACCGCGCGAGTGGCCGCCGGCTTGAGCGCACTGGAGAGGGCCGCGAAACGAGTTACTAATAACCGATAGCATCGGTTGCCTCGCCTTCATCCTCCGTTTCCCCGTCTCTCTTCGTCGCTCTGGTCCTGGAACGAGAGGAGAGAGCACGTGGATTAATTGACCAGTGGCGACGACGCGAACAACCTCCGGCTGGTTCCTCTGACGTCGGCCAATCTGCGTTTACACCGTGTAACGGTAGCGTTCTGGAAATGAACGGGCACGAGGAAAGAAGAAGAAGAAGAAGAAGAAGAAGGAGGAGGAGGAGGAGGAGGAGGGGGAGGGGGAGACGAGGCAGAAGAAGAAAAAGAAGACTACGAGAGGGTAAGGAAGAAAACGAGCAGAAAGAAGAGGAAGAGAAGTGGAGAAGTTGAAGAGGACGAGCAGGAGAAAGAGAAGAAAAAGAAGAAGACAACAACAACGACGATGACGATGATGATGCAGGACCCTCGAGCACGCAGCTGGGCTTGTCGTGTCCCGTGCATTATGCCATCGTGTAATGCCTATCTCATCCAAGGCCAGTTGTACTACAGTCCTCGCTATACGCCGCGTATATCGCAACGGAAAATAAATGGTTGCGCAACCGCGCGTTCGTGGCCAAGACAGGCGATAGAGCGCGAGGGTGCTGCTACTCGCTCGCTCGCGCGCGGTGGCATAAAATTATTGCCTCGTTTATTCCAAGCAATGATCTCATTGCCAGCTCTGACTGATATCGGGACGTCGATCGCTGGTCGATCGAGGGTCACGCCAGATTTCGCGCGCGTTTCTCTCTAAAACTGTCAGGCTCGGCCAAAGTGTCGACGCGGCGTCGAATTTCTACGCCGCCACGTTTCCCTGCGGGAAGATCACATAAAGTCCAGATAAACCTCTAATCTCATCGGGTGTCTCTCGACCGAGCGTGTGCCATCGAGTGGCCGCCTGTCTCGCTTGTCCCAGTTCCAGCGAGAAGGCGTAAACAACAAGCCGGAGGAAACGCTCGCAAGAAGCGTGGAGATACACTCGCGTGAAACGACTCGCACTACGGTGCATACCGTACGTCGTTCTACTCGCCTCGGTTTTCATTACGAGCGAGTCGTTAAATTTTTTACCGTCGATACTACGTATCGAACGCGTATCGTATCGGGTCTCTCTATCCGCGGCTGTCGTTTCGAAGAGCGGAACGAGGAGGAAATTAGACGATACGAAACTCCGAGGAGACGTCCAACCGTTTGGAAATATACAAAAAGCTCGTTAAGTCGCGAGGCGTGTACGCGTCGCCTGCCGCGGAGGGGGGAGGATGGGGGACTCTTAAATTCGGAGTCACGTATAAACGGGCGAACGGAGGAGGAACCAGTGAGAGTTGGGTATAAATACACCGCGAACGGGTCCCTTCTCGAACGAGAATCCTTTGGCGATAAAAAAGGAGAGAAAAAAAGGTAGGGGGAGGAAGAGGGGTGGAAAAAAGACAGCGGGGGCAAAGGAAGCGAGGAAATAAGAGGAAACAAAAGTATATCGGAGAACCGGCTCATCAGCTGGCCGGACTGGTCTGTTGTGTCGCCGTCTCGCTCGCTCCAGCACGAAAACCAGTCGTCGTTCCCCGTTCGTCACCGGGAGATCGTTACTGGCCTGAATTTTATTCGGAATACGGGCGCGAGAGAGCAGCTCGTGATCTCGTATCGATTTTAGTCGACGACGCGTCTCGCGCGTAAAAAAAACGATCGTCGATCTCCTTCTCGCGATGCCGATCGAACGCTCGTTTCCACGTTGCTTTACATATGTACATACGTACGTACGTACGTGCTTATGATCTCGCGGAACGAGCGTTTAACAAGCTCGCTTTAATCCAGTCCGAGACTGGACGATCGATAACGATCTACGCGCAACGATAGATCGTCCGATACCGTAGACGGATCAAGAGAGTGGATCTCGCAGCCTCACTGTCTAGAATATTATTCTAATCGGCGAACGATGAAATCGCGATGTTGTTTCCTTGTTTCCTATTTCGAACAACGATCCCAACGACACGGGAGAAGAGAGAGAGAGAGAGAGAGACAGAGAGACAGAGAGAGAGTATAGATGAAATGGAAAGAGGACGGTCGCGCACGACGCCACTGCACAAGAGGATCACCGATCCTTCCAGGACGCCGAGCGCATAAAAAGACGCGTTTCCATGCACAATAGACCGAACCCGAACGAGACCTTACGTTGCAACCGGGATGGAACAGCCAGTGTATTAGAGAGACGTCGGCCTTAGTGGCTTGATCGAGGCTTCCGTGGCGATGCACGGTTTCTTCCTTTATACAGTCCTTTTCCTTCAGCGGCTCCACGCCGAGCCTTAGAGCCCAACCGAGAAAGACGAAGACCATCTTCGCAACTTCCATCTTCTCTCTCTCTCTCTCTCTCTCTCTCTCTCTCTCTCTCTCACTCACTCACTCTATCTTTATCTATCCCTTTCGATCATCTCCCTCGAACGTTCTTCCTTCATTTTCCCATCTCCCTCCTTCCATCCATTCTCCTCGTTCCGCTGCGCGTCGTGGTTTTTTCTCTCTCGGAACGCGGCGTCTCGCTCGTTCTCCGCCGATAGCCCGGTTTCTTCGTCTCGGTATCCTTTCGTCTCTCCTTCCAACCGTGGTCCATGGGCCGGCTCTTTCTCTCTCTTTCTCTGCTCTCTCTCTTCTCTCTCCTTCTCTCTGTCCTCTGCTCTCCTTTACCCCGCACGTTCGTAGGGAAAGCCAAGTGGTCCTTTTGCTCGGCGCTGGCGCGCGCGGCCGGGAGGCATATAATTTTCTCGGTGTTTTTATTGCGGGGTAACTTGTCTTCAGGTGAGCCGGTCGAGGTGGAGGTGGCAGAGGCCGCGAAGGTAGAGTACTACAGGCACAGCTAACGCGCAGTAGCTTTACCCTTCCCCCCTCTTCCTACACCCCTTATCCATTTTACTCTTCTTGCTCCTTTTCCCCTCCTCTGTTTTCCTCCCTCTTGCCTGCTCCTTTCTCTCTCTTTCTCTCTCTCTCTATATATATATACATATATATACATACGTATATATATATATTTCATCTCGCTCGAACCCTCACGTTCGCGGTTTGTTTTCCTCGCTCGACTCGCTTCGTTCCTCTTCCTCTTCCCTTCGGAGTCATCACCACTACCACCGCGTCTCGGTTCGCCTCGTCTTTCTTCTTGCTTCTCTTCTTCTTCTTCCTCCTCCTGCTCCTCCTCCTCCTCAACCGCCTCTTCCTTCACCGCCGGTCGGTTCGGAGCGTCCCTCAAGCGTACGGCGGCAGCAAGCAGCGGCAACGGCAGCAGCAGCATCCTTCGAAGCGCAAGGATTTTGACCCTCGTTTCGTGTTGCTTGCGTTTCGCCGTAACTTTACTGACTTTGTTTTTCGCCTGCGGGACGCGCACGAGGAAGCAGGAGGGCGAGAGAAGGAGGGAGATAAGGTTGATAAACCGCGCGCGGGGCCGGCTCCGCGCGTCCTCCTTTCTTCTTCTCCTTCCTCGTCGCCCGTTGTCGTCGTCGTCTTCTTCTTCTTCTTCTTCTTCTTCTTCTTCTTCTTCGACCCCTTCCTTCGTCGTCTTCTTTCGACGGAGTCGGGCGAAGAACCGGCCGGTTACGAATTCACGTATCTTCCCTTCTATTTCTGGCGACCCACGCTCCACGCTTCGATCGCGGCCCGCTTCGAAAAGCTTCGTAGGTCGTGATCCGATCGCTCCGTCACCGCGCCGAACCTTTTGTCCTCCTATCAGCTGACAATCTGCTCTTCTTCCGCTTTCGATTTTCCAACACTTGACGCCGTTTCGTCGACCGAATTTTCTTCGCTTCGCGTCAATAGCGATAGATGGAAGTTTATAATTAAGTCTGGCCAAACGTGTGCAGGTGACTGAAATTAAACGATACGTTTGACAAGTACAGATGGAACAAAAATTGATCTGGGACATTACAGTTTAAGACATTTTTTTTTTTTTTCATTATTGAATTTACGTAACGCGACGGGTTTTTATATTTGTTTGTCGGAGACTTGGAAGAACGAGATTAATTAACGCAAGTAATGCGAAAAGACAGACATATTTGCACAAAAATACACGGTCTGACCTAAAACCAATTTCCCGAAGAATTTATATTTCTCTGGCTCGGAATCGTCGTCTGTATTTCTACTTGTAGCTTTGCCATGAACACTCGCGTGTTT